CATGTTTTAATTAAAAAAGTAACAACACAAATATATTTTCACTTGATAGCTTTTCCACACACAAATATCATTTCTGTGTTGTATTACGAATTCATGTACATACTGTGTAAAGTGTTATTTTTTACATTTATCATATAAAACAAGATTGGTGTCACTTACTTACATTTTAGAAAAACGTACGATGTGGCTAAAATTCTCTATTAAATAAGCATCTAGAATTTAATCATTGTAGTTTCATATATACACTCATATGATTTCTATTTTTTTTATTCAGGACACTTTTCAACAAGAGGCTTCGATATTGATCAGTCTCAAACACGAGAGGATTGTACAATTTCATGGATTTCAAAAGACCGAAACTGAATTATTCTTATTTTTGGAGTTTGTTAAAATGGTAAATAAATCTAGTTATTTATTTGAAAATGTTTTCAAAACATACATCTCAATACCTTTTCTAAAAAAATATAGCAACGTTTTGTGAAAATCTGGTAATACTGACGGTTTATTCATCCCTTTAAATAAACGCACTACATTCTGTAGGTTAATGATGTGCAAACTTTGAATTTGCTTTGAGATTCACTGAAAAAAAGTAACTGTTTTTATTTTTCTTGCAAGAAAAACTGCAGTTATTAATTTGTGAAATTATAGAAAATAATTGAGAAACTCATTATCACTATTTAGTATTTTACTTGTAACTGTAACATTTACACACATATCTCAAGCATGTATTAATAAACACTCTATAGAAATTAATAAAGCGATTGAAATCTGTTTACAGAAATCTTCAGCAAGGAATAGGCCTACACAATTACAAGATAAAAAATAACGATACACAACTTTCTACTTGTATGCGATCATATTTATTACCTTTCCCTAAAATGTATCATTATATTACATTTGCAAATAACTAATTATTTCTATGAGTCTAGTTTTTTGGTTATTATTATAAGTTGAATATTATTTACACAGAAGCAATCATACCCATCTGCTTTTGTTTCACTAAACTTAGTTTAGTGTCCATCAGAGCTGGGTAGACTTATGAACTACCTTCTGTTAGACTTAATCCTAGGGTCCAAACTCTAACAACCGACCATTGTTTAATGTTCAATTCTTAAAATTGTCTATCGCAAAGCACAATGTTATGTTTGATCATAATTCCTTCAAGTGAATTGCTTCTAATATGTATGTTTTGCAAGTAGTTAATTTAAACAGATTACATCTATAAGATCAGCAACATGCTGTTAATTGTCTAGAATAATACTTTTCAAATTATATAATTGCACGGATTATATTTTTATTGAATTTGAACACAATTGAACATTTTTTCCAAGGGTACACTTTCTGCGTTTGTTAAACAACACGCACGATTAAATGAAGTTTTGACAAGACGGTTTACAATACAAATTCTTGAAGGCGTTACATATTTGCATGAAAATAAAATAGTGCATTTAGACATCAAAGGTAAGATACATTAATATAGATTTTCAGGCGATGATTATTACTAGATGCAACTGCATTGCATTACTGGTATTAACAACATAAAATGTATGTATAATTTTTATTTATTAGCCGCCGTGCAAGACATCGTGGTTGTCATTAAATGATAAGCTAAAACACATCATTCTTCAAATGCTACAATGCTATAATCATTTTACTTTGACAGGCCATAAATGTTTGATGTATAATTTTTACAGCTTGTTTAATAATGCATTACATTTTAATTCAAAATAAATTTAATTAAAAGTATATGACAAATTAAATGGTTGGTTGGTGCTATTAACGATAAGCTTAATACTAACCTATCAATACTATTATTTAAGCATAATTGTTTATGTCGAATCAACATCTGATCGTAAAAATCTTGTGATGAACTCAAAAAGAAGTAAATGGAATCAAACGATTAAAACATTTCCTAATATATAAGCACATTTAACAAATCTTGCACAACTATTTTATCTTACCCTAAACAAAAAAATATTTTTTTAAAACCATTTAGTGCCCGCTTCTTCCCATTGTAGCTATGGGTCACACAAAAAAAAATATCAAACAACATCTAGCAATTTCCGAAAATAGCATCACTCGGACAAAAAAAAAGCCCCACACTCTATTCAAAATTTCATTTTATAAAACTGCGATTTATATTTTAAAGTATTCAACATGTTAGGTCGATAGGCTAGGTTTATGGTACTAAATACCAATAATATCTTCAGGAAACAATATTTTGATGGCTGACGAAGCAAACATAAAACTAACAGACTTTGGTTTGTCGACAATCCTAATTGAGGAAAAAGGTGTTGAAGCAGAAAGGGGCACAACTCGATATATGGCACCAGAGATGATTAACTGCCCTGATGGGAGAATATTTAGGAACGCTTGTAGTCTTGACATATGGTGAGAAATTCAATCATTTTAAATTGTTTTGTAATGTGTGTGTGTTAACGCATTGTTAATTCTTATTAACGCAATTAATTTAGTCCAATTAATAATACTTTGATCTTTTTCGTTAAACAAAGTGAAATAATCGAATTCGGACATTTTTTCACGATTTAAATTATAATTAAAATGTAATTAAAAATTGCATTGTATAAGGTTTATGAATAATTATTTTTAAAATGTGTACATATAAATACCATTGAATATCATTAGGCATCGGTTAAACTATTTACCTGCTTATGTTTGTCACAGTTTTAACATATATTTTAACCTGAAATTTACCAGGAGTGTAGGAAGCACTGTTGTAGAGATGGTAACTGGCGTACCGCCAAACTCAACTACTGCATCGGTCAACGTACTATTTAAAAGAGCAAATCTTGAGAAGCCTAAATATAATCTACCAGTAGAATCATCCATTTATTTGCAACAGTTTTTAGAAAAAACACTTAGACCTGAAGCAGCAGAAAGACCGTCTGCAGAAACTTTGCTGAAGGAAGACGCGTTTGTGACTGGTTACATATAATACACTGATTACATTAGGTAAGACATTGGTGTAATTATGATTTTGCTTGGTTAAATTAACTATTATTCTTCAATGCATATTTAATTACACTTCTAATTAAGCTACTATCATTTAAGGAATTTGTTATGTATTCAACAAACTACTGCAGTTTACTTTTATTTAGATTTTATTTAATACAGTTTTTCAATTACAATTGCAAAATGTATAAGTTTAAATGACTGAGATAAACCTATTTTTATTAAAGGATTGTCAAAACATAGCTGTAATCACACTTTAATATATAGGCTACACTAGTATTTTTTAAACAATTAATTCCTTTATTTCTTATCGGTTACTTTAATTTTTGATTCAACGAACCTAAATGTACAATACTTTCACTTAGTCGGTGTATCAATATCTTAAATATTTAAAAACAAACAACTATATAAGGGTTGTCCATAAATGATGGCACACGTGTATGGGGGAGGGGGGTCCGTAATTTTGTGACGGTGTGTGATAAGTGTGCGCGGAGGTTCAGATGGTTTGACGTCACACTTTTACATTAATAAAAAAAAAAGCAATGATAGAAAACGACTTAATTTTAGCCGATATTTCGTGTATTAGAAAACTTCTAAATTGTAATAGAAATTGATGAAATTCTTTATGTTAACAGAGTTCAGACATGTATTTGGAAAAAAATATCGATGTTTTAAGAAAAATTCAATGGCAATTTTGAGAGGGGGGGGGGGGGAAGGTTGTAGGATTTAAAAAAACATGACGTCATTTCTGTTGGACACCATAGGCATACTGTTTTATAAATGTGTTCGTGGATGATTTTTTTAAATAACCAGTTAAACAACGCATATTGGCTTATTGTGCATGATTAAATCTAGTGAAAAATATTGTGTAATATTAATAACTATTATTTCCTTAGTGTATATCAATATTAACGTATACTCGTTATTGATTTAACTGTATTGCAACGTAGAGTTAGATGTAAGTGAATAATGTGTTCAATCCTTAAAAATTGTTTTAATTTCATATTTAAAAAAAAAATGTTTATTAATTGACTTTATCGCTTAGTAATTAACTGTTGACATACGTTTTTTATCGATCATGTAAAAATTGTTTCATATTACTGCATTAATCGTGATAAATGAGATGCAATGTTTACATAATAATAATGTTACAGAAAATAAAGCGTAGCATTATTGCCTGATGATTAATTTGTAATTTGATATATTAACTCAAACAAATTGCTGCTGTAGCTTTTTAAAACTTTTCTGTTGTTACTGTTAGCTGTGAACTGTATTTAGCTGTGGTCTATTTTGTTCTAGTTTTTAGTAAATTTATACCTGGACGAATTAAAATATGAACACATTTACTATTCTTCAGAATCTGTGCTTCATTTCTGTGTTTTATATCACAAGATTGCCCACATTCAATTTAAAAAAAATATGAGTAGATGCCTTTGTAGTGTGAGATATGTGTTCAGTATGTCACATTTTATACTATGTAAAATATAATGTGTTACTTGTATAATTAAGTGTGTAGATATTCAAATAAAAATATTTGTATTTACCTTTTGTTACCAGTTAGTGAGAGTGTTTACATATTATGTAACCAGTTTGTGAGAGTGTTTACGTATTATGTTACCAGTTTGTGAGAGTGTTTACGTATTATGTTACCAGTTTGTGAGAGTGTTTACGTATTATGTTACCAGTTAGTGAGAGTGTTTACGTATTATGTTACCAGTTTGTGAGAGTGTTTACGTATTATGTTACCAGTTTGTGAGAGTGTTTACGTATTATGTTACCAGTTTGTGAGAGTGTTTACGTATTATGTTACCAGTTTGTGAGAGTGTTTACGTATTATGTTACCAGTTTGTGAGAGTGTTTACGTATTATGTTACCAGTTTGTGAGAGTGTTTACGTATTATGTTACCAGTTTGTGAGAGTGTTTACGTATTATGTTACCAGTTTGTGAGAGTGTTTACGTATTATGTTACCAGTTTGTGAGAGTGTTTACGTATTATGTTACCAGTTTATGAGAATGTTTACGTATACTGTGCTGACAGCACTCAAACGTTGTGTTAGCGTGTTCATCACGAATGTATTGCATCATAAATTATACATACCATAAGCTGGCAGTGAGAGAAATAAAACGTTGATATTTCCCAAACAAACCATTTTGTATCATACACAACATCTAAGCCCACCCCAAATAAAGTTACCCCCCCCCCCCAAAAAACAAAATGTACCAGTACTTTTTTTCTCTCGGGTAAGGAGGAATACGTATGAAATAAAGCATAATTCATATTGAAAATATTGAAAAAATGTTGTGACAACAGCTTTCTGAGCTTAGCCATTTTATTCTAAATTCTCAAACGACATTTACCCGAGTATCTTAGCTCGAAATCAGTTATCTCTGCTAACTTTGCCAATTTTTTGTGCATGTCATAAATTTGTACATTGTTCATGATAACATTTACTAACGATCTAACTATATAACTGACAGTTTTAGGTACGTACAGGATAAACTTCTATGCTCCAGATCTCTAGATCTAGGTTTTTATTTACACCAGTAACTGCCGAAGATGCTTAGCTTTATACATACACCCTTACATTTTTTTTACCGTAGTGATTATGCTCAAACAGCTATAAAACAGCATATAAATGAGGACGCATGCATGATTAAAAAAAACTTCAAATAATTTGCCCCAAAAAATGTTAAATATTTAGGTTATCTTCATCTTCTTCTTCCTTCTTAATTTTAGTGTTGAAATACATCCTCCCCAACACAATTAAGTATTACGTGTGAACTTGTTTTGTGCCATATAGGCTGTTGATTAAGATTTCAGGCTGCTTTCCTTTTAGGATTTGCCTCCTTAGCCTTTGTCTAACTAAGAACAAAATACAAGGCAGTAGTTGTTTGAAAATTTTAGTTCGCCCCCCCCCCACCCCCACCTCTCCCGAAAATTTCAGTGTCCCCCTCCCAGAGAAAAAAGTCTGGAAAAGACCTTTTCAGACCGTCAAGTTTACCTTATAGGTAGCGCCGACCATGGGTTCACCTCGTAAAGTTCCAGGCACTTGAGCCTCAGGGAAATCAGCTCTTCACCCATGCTTCTCTAAACTAGGGCTACAGACAGACCCAAACACAATGTTTTACAAAACATCAACGACAATTATTATGTTAGTGGCATATATTACTCCATGCCTATACTCCCTATGTAACACATATGGTTACCAGCCAAGAGGTGATAACAAATAAAGTTTTAATTCATTGAGTTGCGGCCCCTGTAGGGCCGTAATCCTGTTGATGTAGTTGTGTTAAATGCTCTTGTGAGCGATTTTACCTGTGGGTAGTTTCGTGCTTAGCCGTGTGAGTCATACGCAAGGCTGCTGTCTGTGGACACGGTGACGGTACCAAGATGTAGACCTAATGAAGGGCTACAGTTTTCTTCTTTTTTACAGTCTTCTCTGTTTTCTTTTTGGTTTTCCAGTTCGTTTAGTATTCATCTGTAATCGTCATACTGTTGTCTTCTGCATTGCCGTCATGGCTCGATGTAGAGAATAAAGCCAGTACTTGACAACAACTGTCGGTGTCAGTTTGTTCTAAATCTCAGGGTCAGCCCGTCTTAACCACAACACCTCAGTGGGTAAAAGCATCCCCACTGAGTGAGGGTTACACCTATTATAGAGTAAGCTTGACATCATTTATGTAGGACCCTCTACACATTTAAAAATAAAGCTGGAATGATCTTCCCTAAACATTCTAGTATATTCTTAAATAATAGTGGGGGGGGGGGAGGCACTTTCAAGACAATAACAGTAGCCAAGTCACTAGTCTGAGGAAGCTTCTGCCCCCTATAGAAGACTGGTCAGTAGAAGACGTAAAGACCTTAAAAAAGCTTAAAAAAGGACTAAAGTAGGGAGGTGTAAAACAGCAAAAACTCGTATTTCTTATAATTCTCATTTTGCCTAATCTGTGTGCACCATTACAATACTTGGGCCTATATTCTTAAAAATTTACTTCTTTAATTAACTTGTAATTATACTTTGCTTTTTACTTACTACTAGGCCTTAGGCCTACTCACTCACTCTTTACTATACTATTTAAACTTAAACTATAACTATAGTTTACTATAGTACTGTTATTTATTAATTAATGAAATAAATAAAATGTAAAGCCCATTAGGCCTAATTTGTAGGCGTCACTTACAAAAATAGTCTTGTAACTTGTAACTGTACTTTGTAGATTAAGTGGAATACTTAATAACAAATAACAATAAATCTACATTTAAACCTACCAATTAAAAACACATTTGGATCAGCTGATTTCTCTAGATTTTTAGACTGTCTGTTTCCCGGCAAACATTTTAGGCTGTACATTTTAAAATTTGCTTTTATATGAAATACATTTTCCTTATACATATCTAGGCCCAGACATTTTATACATCACATTTACATAGGGCCTATGTAATTGAGATCTAGGGCAGTGGTTCTTAACCCGGCCAGGGGTTGGGCGAGGCAGTCTCAGTGGAATCTTAAATATTTGTAATTTGTTGGAGTGTTGATTGAACAAAAACAGCCGTGTGAGCGAGCAGTTAAGTCTGCCAACAATGGCGGTTATGTAATCACTGACACGTCACGCACAACTCACTTTGTGAATCTTTAAGTAAAAATACGAAAACATTAAACAGACGATCTAGTTTAAAAACATTGGATGTTTGTTGCAGTGATTCTTTCACATCTACCGCCCCCCCCCCCAAAAAAAAAATAAAAAAAAATAACAGCAAACACATCCAAAATATAAATTATACAAACTGTTGGGGTTTATAAGCAGTTCAAAAAGTTAATTTTGTTTTGTTTTGCTATTTAAAGAATTTACTTTAATCCAATAATTTGCATCTTAAGTAGTTGTCTCTAGATACGCTACTGCAGGATTAGTAAAATTGTCCAGCATATTTCTAAATCCTCCTTAATTGGAGAACAACATTCTGTCTTAAAATATTCTGTATTTTGTGATATTACACATAATTAATTATATTTATATAGAATCTAGATTCACAATTAACCTACTTTAGCACAATGCATAGCCTAATTATAATTTTATCACCACAGGATACTCGAGGACTGAAGTCTTGACCTACCGGGATGTTAATAGTACTGAGATATTTTAAGTTAAGGATATTTTAAGTTAATGATATTTTAAGTTAAGGATTGTAGTACTATATACCCTGCTTTGAATTGATATTTAAAACAAGAAGTACATGGTCAAAGGTAGATGACACATCATAGAAAAATATAATTTTTTTTTACCATGCGATAACTACTTTAAAGATGATAGTATAAAGTATAAAACTAATCAAAATTTTACATGCGAATAGCCAGGATACATTTTATAGACATGCTCTCTATCATATACGCAATTTAATCCTAATTAAAAGTATCATTTAAAAAACAATATGGGCTCGGCATAGTGCTGAACACACCATTTCTTCATATGCCGGGACGTAGAAATAGGTGAACTCCACTTGATTTTCTCCATAAACAAATTTTAGAATTATAGATTTAAAATTTAACTAGGGAAGTTGTGGTCAAAGGTATGTTACAATGAAAATCCTTTTCAACTTTAAGAAATGCAGAGTTGTATACCTTTTGCAGAAAAATTCTGTATTAAAGCCGTTTACGGTCAAAGGTACATAACAATGAAAATACTGACTATCTTCAAAAAGTGCAGAGGTATGTACCCAAAGAAAAACGTTCATAAATTTAAGACATGCAGAGTTACCTTCCAAACAAAAAAAAAAAAAAATAAAATTACGTAAGTTAAAGAGTTGAAGTTACGTACTGTATAGGAAATAATAATACTAATAGTAATAATAATAGTAATAGTAATAGTAATAATAATAATAATAATAATAATAATAATAATAATAATAATAATAATAATAAAAGTATGCTAGTTATAATTATAAGCACAGCAACAATGATACGAATATTTATATTGTCGGTTGTTATTAACAGACCTTAAACATTTAACTTTAGTTTTTAATTAAAATTAAATTTTGAACTAAAGTACTTTTAAAAGAATGCAATATTTAATATTTTATAAGAATTCAGTTAATATTTGAAGTTACATTTTAAATTAAATCCTTTTACAGACAAAAGGTAAACAACTTCTCAAATATTAAATTGAAAAAAGATTTTTTTTTGTTACTTCCCTTTGACTTTTGAAAATAGTTGTGTTAATATTAAATTGCTTTATTGCATGGCACATAACTCTGCACCTCTTAAATTCATTCATGATATTTACTAGTTGTATACCTTTGACTATAAAATGCATTACAATTAAATATTCACATCGTGTAGGTTGTTTATTATTTTTGTTAAATATTTCTGAACTATTTTGGCTTCCTTCAATAGAATTTTTTTTTAAAAATGCTATAACAATTGCGGTCCACATGTTTGAGCACTGGGTCTACAACTCTTTCAATATATGTATTCTACTTGTCGTTAAACACGTCCCTGTGTTAAAAAAAGAATTAGATTAAACATTTACACAACATTCATAAGGAGGAAAAAAATAAGTACAATTTCACATGACCTCTCTGATTTTCAGTACGTTCTCCAAGTCTGTGAATGTGAGTGATCACATTTTAAACCAACAATTTTTCTGATGCCTCTTTAAAAAAAATGTAATCGTTCAATCATTTTTATAATATTAGTGTGCACATTTACGAACCGTTGAATGTTAATTGTTATTTGTAAACATAAACGGATGTGTCTGCTGCAATCTTTATTTGTTTTTGCTTAAACGAAATACAGTATTATTGAATTGGGTATTTGTAATAATACATACGAGTGTGTGGGCTAGCAACCCGCATATTAATAGCAAACTATTAAAGATTTGCTTTGTATTTTAAAAAATGCTCTCGCGTTTCTGTGAAAGTTCGAAAAGTCCATGGGATGCTATATATTGATTGCTTAGTTGTTTTTTTTTTTTTTTACTTTCTCGTATATAAAAGTATAGAGAAAGTCTTGTAATCGTGCAAAGAAAAGA